ATTGTTTATCAGAATCTATTCAAATATATGTTTATTACATCGCATGCGCATGTTTAAACTGAAGTATGTATGTAAGTGGCCTTTTGTGACTTATTTTAAAGGTCAATAACCAATGATTGTTGACCTTAAGAAACACATATATTGAGTTTAATTAATAAATTTCTAATATATTTGGTTGCAACGAATTTAAATTGTACAGCAAAAGCGGGAAATGGCAACTCGCACTTGTTGGAAGAAAGCAGATTAAATTAATAAAAAATACAAACCTGAGTAAAAATTAAAAACAGCTTATGCAGTAGTCAGCCACCCACCAAATCAGCTGACGTATGACTAACCTAATCTTGAGCCTTTATTACTTTATAAAAGAATTGACATTCCACTTACAGATATGTCGACAACACTTGAATATAGATTATACAAAACAAGTTAACTGATAATTCGACGATGTGTAACCTTACTTATGCTAACTTATGTATTCATTGGAAATGAAACCTCTTTGTCTTTAATTACTTAAATATCTTCTTCTAAAATATAATAAATAATATATATATATATTTTCTTTTTCAAAGAAAATTTTCTCTTTATTATTATTTTATTACTAAAAAAGGTTGATTGCACACAACTATTTCAAATCAAATACAAATGACACATATGGTCATCATAATGGCCATTGGGTTCAGAATTTGGCGGGAATGTGTTTTAATATTCCTGTTTAGATTAGCTGATCAGTATTTCGTGTACTGTAAAAAAATTCCTTTATATATCTCGTGAAATTTATAACGATATAATGCCCGAAGTGACAATTAATAATGTCATAATAAATTTTCCTTTTAAACCATATCAAGTACAAGAAGAATACATGACAAAGGTGATAGAGTGTCTTCAAAATAGTAAAAATGGTGTTTTAGAATCTCCTACTGGTAAAATTAAGTTATTTTTTTTTAATTTCTGCGTATATCATTAATGGACAAAATATTAAAATCAATTTATAAAAATATTATAGGTACAGGAAAAACACTTAGCCTTCTTTGTTCTTCCTTAAGTTGGTTATTAACAAAGAAAGCTCAATTACAGGCACAATCATTAGTTAATCCAACTGAGCAACCTAATTTTGGTGGACATTTTTTTAAACAATTGAATAATGGACTTACAAAAAGTACAGGAGGTGCAGATCCTTCCACTAGTTTCAATTGGGCTGCACCAAAAATTATCTATGCATCTAGAACACATTCTCAGCTTTCGCAAGCTATGCAAGAATTAAAAAGAACATCTTATAAACATGTAAGCACTGCTGTGTTAGGATCTCGAGATCAACTTTGCATTCATCCAGAAGTCTCCAAAGAAATCAATTCTTTTAATAAGATATATATGTGTCATTCAAAAGTAAAATCTAGAACATGTTTTTATTACAATAATGTTGAAATCAGGTAAGAAATCATACTATTAGTATTTAATTTTATTAAATTTTGTTTCCTAACAAAAAATATTAAAAAATGATTCTTTTAGGAAACAAGACCCTTTTTTTAAACATGAAATACTTGATATAGAAGATTTGGTAAAAGCTGGACAGAAATACAAATGCTGTCCATATTTCTTATCTAGAGAACTTAAACAAAATGCAGACATCACTTTTATGCCATATAATTATTTAATAGATGCAAAAGCACGAAGATCACAAGGTATAGATTTACAGAACAGTATTATTTTTCTAGATGAAGCACATAATGTTGAAAAAACATGTGAAGAAGCAGCATCTTTACAGGTATTAAATTAATATGTAATAAGTATTTAACAAGAATTATTTAATTAATTTAAAATCCAATGAAGTATGCAGAAAGAGGAAATAATAAATTCTTTAGTGTCAAACTTTTACAGATCTGTAGTACAGATATTGCAATGTGCATTGATGAAGTAACAGCTGTAATGGAAGATATAGCTAAAGATATTGAACAACAAAATGATTTTTTAATGGAAAATTCAGAAAATGTTCAGAAAGATTTTACTGCAGATGATTTGTGCATTTTAAAAGCTATGTTTCTAGAATTGGAAAAAGCTATTGATGCTATAAAAATTACAAAACGTGATGAAGGAGATACACTTCCTGGTGGATACATCTTTGAATTATTAGGAAAAGCACAAGTAAATAACTATTAATTTATAATTAATATAATTACTTAACTACAAGTATTTCTCCATTTACAAGAAAGGGCAATGCCCTTCAAAAGTTCAGTGATCTATTAAGAATTGTATTCAGTAGTGGTAATAGTTTAAGTCATAGAGAAAAGGTTAAACAATGCTATAAAGTATACATTCAATTTGAAGAACCAAAAAAAAGTAAAAACAATAATGTTTGGGAAACAAAAAAGATATTATCCAAAAATGAGGGTAAAGTTATTAGTTATTGGTGTTTTAGTCCTGGATTTAGGTAAATCTTTACTTTTGTACTATATTTTATTTTAAATAGATTGCATATGTGAATATTTATATATTAATTACAATAATAAAGCATGCAACAACTAATGGAGCAAGGTGTGCGTTCAATAATATTAACAAGTGGTACTTTATCTCCTTTGAAACCTTTCATATCTGAACTTGGAATACCAATTGAAATTCAACTAGAAAATCCACACATTATAAAAGAAGATCAAATTTGTGTCGGCATTCTTGGCCAAGGCCCAGATGGTTATTCATTAAATTCTTCATTTAACACAAGGTATATCTATGAAATATATTCTATGCAATATATTTTCATTTTCAGAGTATATGTGTATACCATTTGAAGTGTTTAACTTGTGTTTCAGGAATGATCCAAAATACATAGCCTCTCTTGGAAGAACAATATTTAATTTTAGTTGTCTTATTCCTCATGGTCTATTAGTTTTCTTTCCTTCATACCCTATAATTAGAAAGTGTAAAGAAGAATGGCAAAACACAGGTTTGTGGACTAAAATTGCAGATCGTAAGGTAATTACCATCAATACTTTGTTTTTAATCATAAGATGATACAAAAATTTATTTACATTCATCAGCCTATATATGTGGAATCACAATACAGAGATGGTTTTACAAATGTCATGAATGAGTATTGTGAAAAAATTAAGGATACTTCCTGTAAAGGAGCTATTTTTATGGCGGTTTGTAGAGGTAAAGTAAGTGAAGGACTTGATTTTGCTAATGCAAATGGAAGAGCTGTATTAATTACAGGTCTTCCATTTCCTCCATTAAAAGATCCGAGAGTTATATTAAAACAACGATATTTAGAAGAAATGAAGAGTCAAAATAAAGAGGTAATTATAATTTAAATCCATTTTAAAATATTCATCAAGTATTTTACTTTTATGTATTTTACATTTTTGATTTTTTAGGCTTTATCTGGTCAACAATGGTATCAGCTTGAGGCATCACGAGCTATTAATCAAGCTATTGGCCGGATAATACGTCATAAAAATGATTACGGAGCTATAATTCTTTGTGACTGTCGATTTGATAATCCAAGTTTTAAAAAACACTTATCTCCCTGGCTTAGACCATACATAAAAAATTTTACTAATTTTGGTGTTATTACGAGAGAGTTAAAAGACTTCTTTAGATATGCAGAAAATA